TTGCTTGATGCAGGGTTGACACAAACCTTTAATTTGTAAAAACAAAACAAAACGAAACACTATCTGCAAAGCACAATAAAATGAGGTACACCTGTTTATACTTCCAAAATGTGTTTTCCTTTCTTAAGCGGGGAAAACTCATTGTGTATAGATATGTGTGCACCAGGGCATGGTTGGATGTAATGTGTGTGTATGAATGGAATGTGCATGATAAGGAGATATTAGTATGCATCTGGGGAGCTGGTGAAGGGCTCTGGTTCATTTAGTGATGGCTGCACTCACTTTCTCTGCCTCATAGCTTCTTTTCTTCCCTCTTTTCTATCTCCTTTCTTTTGTTCTATTCTCCCTGTCCCCTTTCTACATATCTGCATGTTCCTTCACCACCAATTGAAAGCCTAACGAATAGGTTGGCAAAACAGACCAGTGTGAGATTTGGGGGCTATGGTATGAAGCACAGTATTGGGAGTGTGGTTGGGATTGAGAGAAAAGACAGGGCTGGACCTGTGGTCAGAGTCAGGAGTAGGGAATGGTCTGTGGTTGGAGAATCTATTCCTGAAACATTTCCCATTTCAAATTCTGCCACTGGTATGCATGAACACTGAATATGAGTGAGTTTCTTTCTGGGCCTGGGCTTGGGGGGGTCTGTCTAGCTTCCAGCTTGTCTTAATCAGGTCTTTTGATGATGTTGCCATCATCACTGCTACTTAAGCTCAGAAGTGACATTATTATTATTTTTTAACAGAAATAGGCTGCTCTGCTCATACCTTCTAGGGATTTGAGACTAGAGCAGTTAAAGAACTGTAAATAATAGTTAATGAGAGTATCAGCATTTGTTGAAATGCGTATGCCATGTGAATAGGAGGATGTATTCTCTCTTCCTTTTCTTAGCTGTGTGACCATAGATAGGTTATCTAACCTCTCTGAACCTCAGTATCATTACTGTAAAATGGGGATAATAATTCCTACCACAGATTTCCACTAGGACAATCAAATATAAATGGGCCAAGAGCTCTGAAATTAGGTGATCAACAAATGTGAGCTCCTTTCTCCAGTTCCTTCTACCCCCTCCTTTGCTCCCTCCTTCTTTCCCCCTCCCATACATGTTTACCTGTCCCATGTGTGAACATCAGGTATGTATTTATAGTACTTTCCCCACTTTAAATTCTTAAACCAAGTGATGTAACCTTTGTATATTACTGTAAAATTGTCTAAAGCAAGCTAATTTAAATGACTTTTGGGTCATACATATTTAGAATTGTTATGTCCTCTTGGTGGTTTGACCCTTTCTCATTATGTAATATCCCACTCTGTTCCTGGGATTTGTCTTTGCTCTGAAATCTGCTTTATCTGACATTAACATAGCTGCTCCTGGTTTCTTTTAAAGTTTCCATGGTATCTTTTCCCCTCCTTTTACTCTCAGCTTACCTATATCATTATATTTGAAGTGCATTTATTTATAGATAGTATATAGTTGGATTGTTTTCTTTTTAAATCCACTCTTTCACATTGGTGTCTAGACCATTTATATGTACAAAATTATTGATATGTTAAGGCTCAGCCTTCCATTTTAGTTACCTGTTTGTTCTATCTGGTTTTAGTTTTTGTTCTTTTTGTTTTTGTTTTTTGTTTTGCCCTGCTTTCCTGTGGGTGACTTGAAAATTTTTTAATTCCATTTTGATTTATCTATAATGTTTTTGAGTGTATCCCTTTGTACAGCTTTTTTAGTGTTTCTTCTCATTATTACATTATGTATACATAATTTATCACAGTCATCTAATGTCATCATTGTATCAGCTCAAGTGAAATATAAACCTCACCTCCCTTTACACTCCCCTATTTGTGACATGAATGTCTTAAGTGTTTACATACACTGAGAACTGCATGAGACAGTGTGATAAATTTTGATCCAATCATCAAGCATAATTCAGACAACTCAAGAGGAAAAGATTTCTCTTGTATTTACCCATGCTTTTGCTCACTGTATTCTTCCTTGCAAAATTCCTTTTATTGTTTGTTTTGTGTTTGAAGAACTTACTTTAGTCATTCTTATAAGGTAGACCTCCTATTGGTAAATTCCCTGCTTCAATTCACTTTAAAATGTCTTGATTAATCCTTTTATTCATGTAGGATATTATCACTGGACATAGGATTTGGGGTTTCATTTGGGATTTCATTCAGGATTCATGATTCTCTTCTTTCAGCACTTGGAAAAGGTGTCACTTTCTGCTAGGGCCTCATCAGTGTCTGATGAGAAATCTGTTGTCTTCTAAACTTTTTCCCCTGAAGGTATAGGTAAAGTGTTGTTTCTCTTTGGTTGCTTTCTAGATCTTTCCTTTGCCTTTGTTTTCAGAAGGTTGATTATGATGTGTCTTGGTGTGAATTTCTTCACATTTATCCTGATGGTGTTTGTTTTGCTTGTTGAATCTGGAGGTTCATGTCCTTTGCTCAATTTGGGAAGTTTTACCCACTATTTCTCTAAGTACTTTCCTAGTCCTGAATTTTTCTCCTCTCTTCCTGAGATTCTGTTGACATAAATGTTAGATCTTTTGTTATAGTCCCACAGGCCTGGAGGCTCTGCTTAATTCTTTCTTTTTTCTTATTTTTTTGGAATCTAATTTTCCTTCGTTCAGATTGTGAGATTTCTACTGTTTGACGTTTAAGTTGTCTTATTTTTTTTCCTATCTTCTCCATCTTGCTGTGGAGCCCATCCACTCAGTTTGTATAATTTTTTTTGGCTATTGTATTTTTTCAGTTCACAAATTTCTATTTGGTTCTCCTTTATGTTTTATATAACCTTGCTAAGACTTTCTATTTATATGCTGAGGTATTTGATTTTATCATTTGTTTTAAGTGTGTTACAATCACTTAGTGAATACTTCAAAATCTTTGTAAGATAATTCTAACATCTGTGTCATCTCAATGTTCACAAGGATTTACTTTCTCTTGTCATTTAAATTGATAATCTTGGTATGGCAAGTGATTTTTCTAAAAATTATATTTGGACAATGGATCTCTTTTAAAACTTTTGGTTATGCAGACCTGCCATGTTCCTTTTGCAGCAAGTGAGCAGTTTAATCCAGGTTCTCCACTGGGTCTCTGGTTGACCTCCAGGTTTGCAAGGGGCTCCTTGTTACTGCTGGCTGCTGGTGGGAGCTCAGCCCTCTCTGTAGGCCACTGATGTAGCCATCCCAGCTAGCAGTAGGAATGCCTGACTTATAATGGTAAGGGTAAAGGCTCCCCATGTGGTCTGCACTGGGAAGGGTTACTTCCCTTTCTCCCAACTGTACCTTCTTTTGGGGTGGGAAAGAGGTTTCTTTAAAATCCAGTAAGAACAGAAATCTAGGCTCTTCACTTGCAGGCCTAAGCTTCTTATTAGCTATATTGTTATTATGATAGTTGGCCTTCTGACACACCAAAGTATCTCACTCCTTATTTCCTTATGATTTTGCAGAAAATATTGCAACATAACCGCCCACCCCCCCAGCCTTTCCTAGACCCTCTGTGGGATAGAGTGGGAAAACCAGCGCCTCTGCACACAAATTGACTGGGTTCCTGTCAAAATCTGGCATTTTCAAGCTGTTTGACTCTGGGAAAGTTACCTAAATGTTCTGACCTTCCATTTTCCCAGTTGTAATGAGGTGTAGGAAGCTCTCAGGACTCTTGCTGAAATAAGCAGTAGTGGGTCAATGAACTTGGCATACCATGTGCTCAATAAATAATAGTTCCCTTCCCTTTACACCCCAGCAGAAGTAGAGATGCAACCCCTCGAAAGGACAAAAAAGCTCAAGTGCTTCCCTATACCACCTACATGTGTGAGTTTCACCAAAGACATCAACTCCAAGGGTTAAGTCTCTTGGTCTAAAGTCTTATTTCTTAAAGAGACACACTTGATATCCACATCCTTTCCCCCAGGTTCCATGAAAGCTCTAAAGGGAGACTGTCCAACCCAGGCCACCCTCAAAATGAGGGTGGAAGCTGGGGCCGGCGAGGGGGACTGGTTCTGGCAAAGCAGAGTAGGTGAAGGAAAGCCTGGTGTGATCCCAGACAGTCTACTTGCCTGGCGATACTGTGTTCTGAGCAAGGACAACATCATCACCTTGCCAAAGCTGCGCCTGGAAGGAAAGGGTGAGTACGCAGGCAACTCCCACTTTGCTGGCCTGCCCTTCACCTCTGGCACCTTAAAGCTGCAGCTGAGTTCCCACCATCTGGCACAGCCACCGCCTCCCC